TCCTATATATCCTAGCTCCTCCCCTACCTCTTGGGAGCAGTCCCTCAGAGTGATCCTAGGGGCTGTGATCCCGGCTCCAGTCCTCCCGCCAAATAAAACATAACTTAACTTTTAGGCTGAACATTTATTTCAATCAAGTGCCAGAATAGACATAACTCATCAATTCTGTAATGGAACACACTGAATCAGGAACCAAAAGTGTGTTCTAGTCCCGACAAACTATGGGTTCCTCTTTCTTCCTACCATTATACAATCCCACCAGAACTCATTACAGTGCTGTCTGCTCATGTGGTAACCAAACTCAGAGAAGAGTCAACTCAACAGAGCGCTGTGCTGGGGAGAACACCCCGCAGCAGCACGGCGGTCTGCCTGCCCTCCCGCACACTCCGCTGACCCCTAGTGTCCTCCGTGGAGACCAGGCCAACAGAGCTGTTCCCAACAGCTGCAAAGTCCCACACATTAAATAAAAGCATTATATTTTATACGATATGTTACGTATATACCCATCTCTGAAAACAGCTTTGCCAGAAGCCCACATCTTCAACATTAATCTGCAAAATCAAATCCGGTCCCCAAGGGAAAGCAAGTCTTAAGACAATGCTAAGGCCTCCAAAGTCCTCTCCATGACCGTAAAGCAAATTGCCTGCAGGTCTCCAGCCGCAGGTGGCTACAGGTCTGCTTTTAAAGCAACCCCATTCTGCCCTCGGGCGCTACAATCTCCCTCTACGCCCTACCATCTCACGGTAAGTGCAGCCGCTGCAGAACCCTGCGTGGCAGCACGGACACGACTGGACCAAGAGGATTAGAGCTAAACTAAGCCTTCTGATGACACGAGCTTGTCACTCTGTCACTTTATTTTTTTTAACATTTTTTATTGATTTATAATCAATTTACAATATTGTGTCTCGGTCACTTTACAGATGAAGATATATATATATAGACAGGTGGGGTGAACTTGCTCAGTCACACAGCTAATAAGTGGCAAAGTCTATAGCTCTGTTGCTCCCTCCAGCGTGACTCCCCAGCTGGGATGCCCACAGGATTCTCTTGTGCCTGCCTGACCAGTCTTTTCCTGTCACTCATAACCCACCAGAGGGTCTACCCTAGCCTGCCTTTTTCAGCATCTTTTCCCTCCAGTCTCTCAGGAACAAGGCTGCTCAGGCCACTGTATGACTTCCGGCTTCCCAAACCCTCCGTGATCAGGTTAGTCTTGCCTATGCATTCGGCCCCCTGTTCAGAGGCTCTTCCTTCCCTGCAGGAGGATGTTTCCACTCTCCGCAGGGACACCAACTCAGGGGAGGGAGCCCTCTTTTCCCCTTCAGCACGGCAGGTGTCCCAGGCCACATACCGAGCTGCCCCATTAGGACTGCGGGTGCCCAAGTCTCCTAATAAGGACATCAGCTTCAGAATCAGGAATTATGCCTGGGTAACCCTGCAAACCTACTGCCCGCCTCACAGCCAACAGCCAGCAGGTCACCTGGAAGTCACAGCAATTGCCCCGCCCAATCCAGAAGGCTCTTCATTTGCCAGCACCGCTGATGACTGGTTTCCAACCTTTAGTCAGTTTCACACAAAACAGCACCTTCCACTGTGAAGCGGGGGTCTTTTGCTCCTGCACCCCATCCTTACTGGAAACATCAAAGGAAACCAAAAGGCCTTTTCTCAAACCTTTTCTGATGACACCCTCCCACGAACAATACTCACATGCTCAAGAGCTTTGGGTCCACTTGATTTTGTTTCGTTTACACTAAGTGGCTCAAAACACTGTGGGATTTTTTCTCTTTTGAGGTTATTTGTACTCAGTTTATCGGCTTTACTCTGTTTTTGTCTCTCCCTTCAGTATCCCTAGCAGTTTCCAATTCTTACTACCTT